GCACACGCGCGCCCAGGGCTGCCCGCTCCGGCCCCCACGCCACGAGAGCCAGAACTGAGATCCGCCCGTGTTCTGAGACGAAGCCGCCAAAACAGACGCTGGGCATGCCGACTTTCTGGGATTTTTATTTCTTTAAAATAATTCATACAAATGGTTACAGTCACAAACATGATTTAACCAAAGTATTGCTAGCCTACCACATCAGCAGGACGGCGCCGCGCAGCCCGGGCAGGCGCCGCGGCAGAGCTGCAGCTCGGCCCTCCGCCGCTTCGCGAGCCGTCTCCGTTTGGAACAAGGGGTTCATGCCAAAATGAGGAAAGACAGCCTTGTTTTGTTTTTCTAAATTATTCTAAAAATAAGACAAGCAGGTAGAAAAAACAATGCACTGTGTGGCATAGAAAGAAAAACGGGAGGGGTTCATTGTCCTGAGAAGTTTGCCAGCTGCTCTCTCCGGGCGCGTTCCAACGAACAGAAGGGAAAACCCTGAAAGCGGCGCGCGGACGCGCCCCAGGTTTTCTTTCTGCTGACAGCTAAGCAAACAAATCCTCTGTGATGTTCTAAAGACTGTGCACAGACAAGAACATTCATGATAGAATTAACTACTAACTTCTTTTGCTTAACGAGGACGCACGGGACACGGCAGCGACCGGCCCTCGGGACGGAACTACGTGGCGGAGGCCGCCGCCGCCTCCCGCCAGGCGCCGGGACAGTCTCTGCAGCGCCGCGGCCGCCCGGTGCCTCCTCCGCACGCCCGTCCGAGGGCGTGGCCCCGCCGGCGCCGAGGCTCCGAGCTGCGTCCGCGCTACAACTGGTCACTCGCGTGGTCTCTATCCGCCTCGGGCTTGACGGTTTGGCCGGGAGAAGGGGCGTGAGGCGGGTGGGACACGGGGGGCAGGCCATGGGACAGGGACATGGCGCTGGGGACAATGCCTTCAACTGCGGCCGGGATGCCGCTGGGGGCCACTCCCACCACGCCAGGGGGGTACCTGCTGGGAGAGGAGGGACGGCCTGTGAGGCCAACCGGGAGGGGGACCCTGCGCCA